TGATTCCCTGCTCTGGTGTTTTGCCGGGCGGGGACCAGCCTGGTATCTCAGATGAAAAACACACAGTTGACGATTAAACGTAATTTAATCTGGACATCCTTCGGCACAATTTTTTGACTGCGTAACGCCATGCAGACATCTTTTGTACGCCAACACTTGATACAAACCACATTTTTAGGAAAGGCATCCGTTCGGACTGGCACAGGTCTTAACATTTTCGGTTATTCTCGGGTTCTAAGACCCGTCACCCGCTCAATCGTCCCGGGACGGGGAAATAGCTGTTATAACAAGGTTTCGTGCTTCGTTGGCTGATACGAATTTGTTTTAATTGACGAGCTCTCTGACTTTTGTTCTAGACGCTGGCATGATATATGCTCCTAGATTCTCATATCCATTTTTCCGAGCATGATGCCACTTCGCTCCCGTGTGTCCCACACACTGCAGGAAGAGGACGTTCCGCTGTCGAATGACTCCATGTCCTCCGCCCAGTCGCCGCGCTTAGTTCGTGTGGATACTATCCATGGCCACAGCCTTCGCATTGAAGCTACTGCGTTTCAGTCTCCTGTCTCAGACGCTGCCCATCCTTTTTGTCATGTCGCTCGTCAACAACTTACGTCAGTCTATACGGTTCTTACGAGCTGATAAGGAACTCTTGTATGATTTACATGGTTTTAGTAACAAAAACGATCCTTCAGATGTCACTCTGTCTGCGTCCTGGTTTTTATACCTGATGGAGTAGCTGTCGTGGCGTTTCGACTTGGGCTGTAGCGCTCAGTGCTCCGCGAGCAATGCAGGTATATGGCTCAGTTGTTATTCTTCAGAATGGCAAGCTGATTGTAAAAGTAAACCTTTTCCTTGAAATACAAACGCACTGTAGCAGCAGCGTTTGCTCACTATTGTTTTCGACATTTATCCTAACAGCGAAAACGGGGTTTTCTGAGTCCGATGACATTAATACCAGTATCCTCCTGGTCGAAGCATCACAGGCCAGTCCTTGCTATGCCGCCAAAAAATGGTGTTACAAATGTGACCGAATAAAAAACCTTCCCCTGAGGTGTTGATACCGTTAAGATTGATAGATATCGTTTGCCAACAATATCACTATTCATACGCCGACTGCATTAAAAAAGCGGCATGGAGTCAACGCCAACAATGAACATGCAGACTATGCCCACGTGCGCGTCTAATCCGCGCATTTTCTTACTATTGCCGGCTAAACAAGTAGTTATGTCAGGAGCTCTTTCCTAATGACTTCCCGTTTATACCTGTTCGAAACGCTTCTAAATGCGCTTCGAGATCTCTTGAGTGCCTATTAGCTACGGAGCGGATTCGAAATCATGGAAGATAAAACATAGGTTTAGTATTGCGCTGCCGAGTCCTACGACCTCAGTTCCTGACCTGAACTGATAGCACACTTGACCTAAGCCCTGACTTGAGCTCCGACCTGAGCTCTGACCTCAGCCCTGACCTCAGCATCGATGAGAGCACCCAAAAACAATTTCCCAATGCTCGCATCGCAGTAAAATGTCGTCACGCAATATAAATCACCACACACATTTAGCCGAGAGCTAGGTATGCCTGTCATGAGGCGCATTGCACAAACTTGAAATGGTCTTACACCATTTGGCTTCGCAAAATGGCATTTGCATTTAGATTGCATTTGCATTGTTATGTTGCGTACAGACATGAAGTCCCATGGGCTGGGCCTCGTATCAGCCATACGAGGCTCGGATGTTCTGTGACTGGCTGGAGCTAACAGTGCAATGTTTTCATACTGTTACAAACCTGCAATTGTGAGGTCCGAATGGTCTGTTATGCCTCCCAAGACGGTTACTTAACACGGGCATCGTACCTCAGCACTACGCTGAATACGAATATTACAGCTGATCGCTAGACAAAAAAAGCTGCAGCGGCAGATGAAATCCTCCCTGGAGTAGAAACGGTTGCGCACTCAGGCGTACGTTCAATGCGCTCGCCGACCGTCGCAGCTCCCCACCGAATAAGCCACCAATCGCGGCGCGGTCGCAGAGGTTTACTACCTGCCGCGTTTCTGCGTCCTCCGTTGCGATTGACGTGGGGAGGTGTAGGAGAGCGGGGGGAGGGAAGGGGGGGGGGAGGACGGTGTACGCTAGATGTTCCATGCGCCGACAAACCTCCGAAGCGAATAACCCGTCACACTCCAGATCATCGTCACAATCACCGACTGCAGACGGGGGCTCGAACTTTCCGCAGGCCTCTCACGTTCTGGGCGCGTCTACCCGTGACCCAATCACGCTCGTCCGCCGCGACCGCCCGGTCGGCCAATCCCGCTCAAAGCGGGAGGCTCTGGGGTCGCGAGAGGTCACCAGGTGACCGCGCTGGCGCGAGGCACTCGTGGGGGGAGGGGGGGGGGGGCGGTGCGATCGAGTTATTCGTGGTACTATGCCGATGCTACTTTAGGCCCCATTTTCAGGCGCAGAGTTCTTCTTGGCTTCGCCTGTTGTCCATGTGAGGTTTTCCCTCACACTAGGTATTTTGGTTGGGATATCTTAAAAGTAACCGTACACACGTTGTTCATGGCTTTCATGCAACGACAGCTGTTTTGATTCAGGCAAAGCTTCCTGGGACGCAGGCCCGGTCTTCTTAAATCTCAACACGTTGAGAAAATGTGAGATGTGAGAGACACTTATTTTTTAAGGGACTCAGCATATCTTAATGGTATTTACCTAAAATTTGGCGGGGGCACCTGCCGATAGGTTTTTGGAATGCTATAATAAACAACTTTGTTGCGCTGAGCTTTACTGATGTGCCAAATTAGTTAGTTAAAGGAAGAAAAAGAGTGGATGTGGCTCTATTCAAGATGGCCGCCTCTGCTACCCTGGGAATTCATCATCTACAGCCTTTAACGGAACTGGAGCACGTTTGTTCTCCGCAGTCATGTCCCCCGACACTTCGCTGGCATGCGTCCCAAGCGTTAGAGAGGAGTCTCGGCGTTCAACGCTCACTGTAGACCAGCGCCACTTTGACCAGCACCACTCTGACGGCACCCACAAGCTGAACTCTGACAACACTTCCCGCTGCAGTGTGCTGGCCGGCCAATATCAGCCTGACCTCCTCGTTTACCGGTCATCCTTCCCGAAGTCATTGTGGCCCTATTGTTGTGGCTTTTGCCGTTTGGGGTGACTACGATCAAAGTGTTGCAAAGGAACACGAATATTTATAGCAGGTCTGAGTCAAAATGAGTACAGCTATAAGCATATGGGCAGCTCCGCGGGCAAGCCCTCGCAGGCTAGACAACAAAACATTGTACTGAAGGCACAAGCATGGCTTCACGAAATAAGTTGGACCGTTTAGTAAGTAAAAATGGGCTCCTGGACTGTCCCAGAAACCGTGCCTCTTCCTGAATTTGTCTCACTTTTATCTCAAAGTTCGGATGGCTGTAGCCCCTCTACCGTCTGCATACGTAACTAACTTCCTCATGGAAGAACAGTTGTAAGGGAGGGAGGTGTTGTCCATTTTCTGGTAGAACTCCTCGGTAGACGTCGCTGTTGGGTGGATGGCGCAATTCACCCGGAGTAACTGGTTGGCGGTACATTTACCTGCACCACACAGCCGGCTCCAGGTCTGCGCCTCCTCTGGTCGCTGTGATCTATCATTGATTCTTGAAAAAGGCCAACAACTGGTGGTCCCTGGCTCCCCGCTCAAATGCGCGAGACCTGCTGCACGCTACCGATAAACACTTTGTTAACGCGTCTGCCCCCCCCCCCCCTCTCTCTCGCTCTCTCTGTCTCTTTGAACGGTGACGGTCCCGTATCTCTGCAGCCCGGCGTGGTGCTCACCATGTTATTCGAGCGTGATAGACAATATTTACGTTATGTTGCAACGCTGCAAGGAAGCTACGCGTGATCCCACATCTCATAAGTACATCAAACATCCACAACAACCATACCTATTTAAATGTTTGAAAAGTGTGCGGCCCCATTTTTTTCAAAACAATTGTGGCGCGGCTGGTGACCAGCATGTGAAGCTGCTATTGGTTGCAAAGGTCTTTGTTCAAAGAAAGCATGACGTGCCTGGTCGGGCTAGGTCGGGTTGCAAGTTGAAATTTATATCACTGTTCAGGGAGGACTCGCTCGGAACTCGAGCGGTCTCGTTTGACTTTGCCAGAGATGACAGTGGTGATCCCAAGACACTGATAGGCTGATGCTGACATCTGCTCTTTGTAAAACAGGTAAAGTAAACAAGGCTGAGAGGCTGCAATTGGTGACCCCAAAATATTGAGAGGCTGTTTTTCGACTCGATCTAAGGCTGACCATTTTAAGTTGAGTTGATTCGCGCTGCCGGCTGGCAGCTCTGCATCGGTCCCGTCGGATGCCTGGCGAGCCGAGGTAGGCCGTCGGTCATCAGCCAGACGTGCCAGTTACAGCAAACGTCGCGTCAAATGAGGTTTTCAAAAGGGCAAGCTCTCATCTTGCGAGACCAAGCTGTTAAGTTCTTGGTGTGTTGTCATCCTCGGTAAACCCATGCAACTGCGCCAACTTTATGCCACACCTTTAGCAAAGGCAATCAAAACAATAAGGCTTAATCAGCCTGCAGTCTCGTTGTTGGATTTGCAAACGGATGGCCGTGGTGTCAGCTGCAGCGCGACGAGCAGAGGTATGATATCACCCCTTACATGGATCGGCCTGCCTGTCAGCCATAACTTATACCTCTTTGTACTTCCGCTGCTCAGGAGCAATTCAGTTGGAATATTTAAGCCAGATGCGCAGGGCTTCATTCTGGTTTGAAACGTTTTAACTCTGATTTGGTCATCATTCCTGGAAGCTGTCGGTACTGGAATACAACTGCTTTAACCGTGCTAATTTTTCCATTATGCTACGTCAGGGTTCTCAGGTTTTCAGGCAAAATGTGCAGTTTGAGCCTGCTTGAACGTATAAAGTTGTTTTTTCATGAATATTGTGTCATCCGTTAGATGTCAATGCTGTCTTTCTTCCAGTTGCACTTCATAACGAAACAGTCGCCGATATTTGACATTTATTTACAACTTCTTTCTCGTGAAGCAATCTAATGACTAGACAAAGCATACATATTATTACACGTTCAACAGCGGATGATTGTCTAAGCTTACCATACGCATTACAAGGGTGACTATGTGAGTATCACTCAGGTGGAGATTTCTAAAATTACAACAGCTCAATAGAGAATCAATCTAATAACATAACATGTCCATCTTACTGATCGTCCAGCAACCGTCAACACGATGGCGAAGTCACCAGAAAAACCACACAAGGTCTTGGCCAAATGTTATTGCACAAACTGCGCTCCTGCTGCAGCGATGCAAGTTGCGCATTTCAGAGGCATCACACAAGCGTTTTGGACGGAATGCGCAGCGAATCGCTGTACATGTAACAAGTGGCGCCATACTCAACATAATCCGCTTCCATCGCTTCGGGTCACTGCTGAAATCATCACGGTCACGCACCGGGCATCAATCAGCAGCAGCCCAGCAGCCGTCTGCCCACCACGTCTCGGCGCTCGGCGGGCGTCGGACCTGTCAGAAGGGCCTGGCGCCCTTCGTGAGGGGTGGCCAGTCGCGCGAGTGCGCCAGGTCACGGCCCGGGTCATCAGAGGTCAGCAGCGCCTCCAGCCGCCGCTCAGACCACGCTGATGTCCTCGCACGCGGTCGTGTCCTCCTCCGCGCTCTGGCTGGCCGTGTAGCAGGCGGTGCAGGCGCCGGACACCAGCTGACTCGCCGGGCTGCCGCACTTCGGGCAGTCTTCGCTGGCCTCGCCTGCAACAGGTCACGCAGGGGTCAGGCGGCCGGTCATGCAGGGGTCACGTGGAGTGTGACAACGGATCGGCCGAGCGGCGTGCCGGCAACGCCGCCGACCGGGACCGCGGTTCACACGGCGGCGGCAAGGCAGACGGGCTCCGCGGCGCCCGCCGTGAGGCGCGTGTCCTCCCCCCCCCGTTCCAGCAGCCTGTCTGCAGCGGCGTCTCACGTGTCACTCGCCCTATCAGGTTCTGTCACCAGCGCCACGCGTCTCCGATCGTCCTGCCGGAGTCCCTGCCGTCATCCTGCGCGTCTCCGGCAATGCCTCGCCCATCCTGCCGCACATCTGACCCTCGCCTCCTCACAACTCTTCACGATACCGGCCCGCACCGCCCGTGTCATCACCGCCGTGCTCGGGCGGCCTGCCGCGCGGCGGCGCGCCGTCGCCACGCCCCGCGCTGCTCTCCTCCACAGTGGCGCCACCAGCGTGCCGCCACCCAGCGGCGCAGGGCCATTCCGTCGACCCCTCAAGGACGGCCGGCCCGCTCACGTACGTGCCCAATTGGAGAGCCCTGCACACGAGCTGGCGGTGATTTTACCAGACCATCAGGCGGCCTGTTTAATATTCCACTCCAGAAGCGGCGGCAGCGCGGGCGCCGCTGCCGGCGCTAACATTACTGATTTATTGAGATTTTAACCGATCTCAGATCCCGGCCGGCGGCGCTTTCTCACGGAGGCGAGTTGCATAATTACGCTCAAATACGGTTTCATTCATTCACTTAAATCATTAAAGATCCAAAGCCCGTCAGTGGCGTATCGGCAGGCAGTTAAGCGGCCTGTTCGGCCGCCGGTTCGTGTAAACGATAATTACGGAGGGCAATCTCCATTGATGGCCGGCCGCGGCGGCGGCGGCCGGTGGCGGCGCCTGCCGGGGTAACGGGTGCCGGCCACGCCACCGGAGGGCGCCGGCGGCGCGCGGCTCCCTGCGGCGCTTCCGGCGCCGGGTCGGCCGGTGCGGGCCGGCGCAGCGGCGGCCCGGCGGCGCAGCGGCCGCCCAGGGGGCTGCGCGCCGCCGGCGGCCGGCTGCCACCCGAGCGATGAGGCTGATGGCAGCCGCCGGCGTCCGCCGTGAGATTCGGCCCGTATCTGGCCGGCCGGAGCGGCCCACGCACCGCGCCGGAGCTCGCTATGAAAAGGCTTCTGCGAAGTGGCCGCGGCAGTGCCGCACGTTTAACGGCAGCGCTGGTATGCAACCTGGTAGCAATCGTCTCAACGGGGATTTAAACGCACCTGGCCGTAATGATACCCTTCAACGGGCCAGCGTGATTTCATGGATCACCGAGCCCGGCCGAGCTCAGAAGCGTCCCAAGCGAGAGCAGAAGTCATCGACCGATCGGAACGGCGGCTGCACAAGTGACCGTTAGTGGTGACGACAGTTTACGGTCCTACCGGGCTAGCCGTGATGCCGGCAAGCGTAAGTGAGGTGCAGGTGTTGCAGACGCGATGTTCGGGCTATGTCAGAAATCGCGTCTGGAAGTGGAGTTGAGTGCATGTAGACGCGTGCTTTCTTTGTTGTTATTTCATATTCTAGCTTCGTAGCCATTTCTTACCCTTTATGTATGTCCCTCTGTGTACATTTCCCTTTTTCCTCGCCTCTCCTTTATTCACCGATCCGAATCTCTCCTTTCACCCGTCTCGCTCTCTTTTCTATCACTCATATTCTCCTCTTTCTCCCTCCCGCTCCCTCTCCATTCCTTCCTCCCTCTCTGTCCCTCACCGCCGTTACACGGCCATTCCAAGGCTAGGTACGGCCAAGAGCTGATAGCTCGATAAGAATTTAGAGGAATATTAATTGTGGGCTGAGGCTTCCGTAAGATAACGCCAGACACGCCAACGCCTGCTTTCGAGGTGGTAAGGGTCCATAAACGCGCTCAGGCTGGGTGGAGTTTCGTTGCCGTGACACTCGCGGGGCGACATTCGGTACGGCGCGTCCCTAACGGCCTCCGTGGTAAACAGCGGCCCACCGCAGCCCCGACAGCTGATGGGTAACACGAGCGCAAGCGGAGCAATCCACTGGCAGACCGCCGCCATTTCCGGCCGGCTCGTGGGCGGTCGCGCCCTCGGCGAGAGGAAGGTCGCGCTTACCGTCGTGCGTTTTCAGATGCGCCCTCAGATTGCAGGCCAGCGCGAACTTCTTGTTGCAGAGGCTGCAGCTGTGCGGCTTGTCGCCTGGAACAGACCACAACGGTGAGCGGGTCAGATCGTGGCCCGGCACTGCTGAGCGGTGCTGTGACCTGGCCCGGGTCAGGCACGTGACCTGGCCCGGGTCATGGGTGTGACCTAACCCAGTTCAGGCATGTAACCTGGACCGGGTCAGGCGTATGACCTGACCCGGGCCATGTGTATGACCTGACCTAGGTCAGGTGTGTGACCTGACCCAGGTCAAGCGTGTGACCTGTCCTGGGTCAGGCTTGTAACCTAACCCCGGTCAGGCGTCAGTGGCGTTGCCCAAGGCGTGAGCCGGGTTCGGCTGTGCCGGAAGCCAACCCAGCGTGGCCTGGCCTACCCGCACACGAGTCGCCGCAGCGCCCGGGCGCCGCGGCGACCCGCCTCGGCCCGCCAGGGGTCTACGAGAACGTCTGGCGGCGTGACGATGCCACCCTCATCATCGTAACCCGCCGCGTTATTGAATTATATCACGCATTAACGCGATACCAAGGTCTTAATGGCAATGTTTACGGCTTCTAGAGGTGGAGGGCCCACTTTTATGGACCACCAGGAGATAAGCGAACCAGAAGTGCGTGACTATTAATTCATACCTCGTAACTTATCGAACAAAAGGATTGCAGACAGCAGACAGTGTTTTCGTTCAGGACACAGGAATCAGACCCGATCTTCTGGTACAAAGCGTTACATATCATCGCCCGCCCGGTGATCTTTGTTCTTCGCCTTGTGACAGGCTGGGGAAAAATATTTACTCATGAAGTAGCAGCAGCACCTCCGGTGTAAAGATTTACAAAATCCGCGAAGTCCAGCCACATTGAGAAAGCTGTCATAACGGGTTTAGCGTTTAAGCACCTGTAGTTGAAAAGAGCTATGGTGAAAACGTTTGTCTTCTTACCATGTGTTTATCAGAGTTAATACAAGTTCCTCCAAGAAGGCTCCATCGTTTAACAAGCAACTGATCGCCACTTAAACAGCGGGCAAGAGCCCAGTTCAAACAATATTGGGACTCTCAGCACACCACCGGCTGCCCAACTCGTGCAAGGAGGACGCTGCAGTGCATTTATAAGTCAAGCTTTTGTGGGTTCCTGAAAATTACGAGGCTCATTCGCGTTCATCTTTGTATTATTTACATGGTGACAAACATCACGTTTGTAACTGCCTCCTTCCGACACCGCCGCCGGTGTCTTGCCGGTTAACATTGGTAACGCGTCGGGCGCGGGGGCCGTTTGTGCGCGACTTACTCCACCTAACTCCTTCCTAGTAGCTCATGTTCACACAATCCAACGCTCCGTCCGGACCCGTTCCGAGCTTAGCTTCACACAGAGTGTGTGACACCACGTAGCCCGATGCCGAATGCAGCCATTGGCTCACACCGCTGGCCGGAGCGACCTGGTATCTGCCCGGCTTCCCGAACCGGTGTAGCGCATGACGCGAATATCTCCCGCATTCACTCCGGTAGAATTTGCCCAATTATTTCGGAGCAGCTGGAATCCTCATGGGAATCACGAGTCCGCGCCCGCCCCAGCCCCGGGAGCGCCTTTTTATCTGGCTGGCTCGCCGGCCGCTACCAGCCTTCCAATTAAAGTATGACACACGCGGTCCACAATCTCACCACGCCGCCGACAAAAAGGGCGCCTGGCCCGGACGGCGATAATTATCCGGCAATGATCTAATGGAGAAGCCGTGCTCCGACCCTGACGCAGCCGAGATAGCGCTTCCAGCCGGCCGGGTCGGGCCGGACCGGCGCGGACGCGTCACCGGCGCGCGCTGGACCGAGCCGGAGGCCGCCCGGGGGACACCGAGTCCGGCGCCGCATCGAACCGCCGGCAGCGGCGGCGTGAAGGGCGGGGACGTGCGCGCGACACACCTCGTCACCGGTCGACCGGGATGACGTGTCGTGCCACCGGCCGACCGGACTGACGTGTCGTGTGGCGCCGCGCGTTGTACCTGACGATGTCCACGCACGCTCACGACTTGCGGTACCGCACGACACGCCGGCCGGCGCAGATGCATTGTGCAGCGTTAGGCATGAATCGCGGGTAGGGAGGGAGGGGGAGGGGGTCGGAGCGTCCATAGGCGTCAGTGGAACGGCGGACGACGAACGCAAAACGTCATCGCCATTCGCGTTGTTCGCCACCATGCGAACGCCGTCACAGAAAAATGCGTCGAGAGCCAGCGAGGCTGGACACCTCACGGCGCGTAGGCTGCGCCGGCCGGTAACGACCCCCATGTTCCAGCGAGACGGACATCTCGCGGCGCGCAGGCTGCGCCGGCCGGTAATGACCTCCGTGTTCCCGCGCAGCCGCCATCTCAGCTATGTTAAAACGGAGGCTCATCATCGGTGTAGCCAGTGAGCTATCCGCCTAATGGGCGGAGAGCTCCTCATTAAAGTTCCACGGGCAGTGCCAATGAAAGCTTGGACAGTGCTACCCGGAGCCCGCACTCCCGCTAATGAGGGCAGCATAGCCGTGTTTGGCATTAGGACGACCGTGGCGCGCGCGCGTGGCCGTGTTCGTCCATGTAAGCGTGTGTGCTCCGCTGCGGCTGCCCTCCATACGCCACTTCACTATCCTCCGCGATTAACGAGGCCATTCTCAAAACACGGAAATATAATTATCTCCCGAATGTTATGGATTTCTGATGTATTTCTGTGCGGCAGACACCGATAAGGCATTCCAGAGTTTGTCCAGGCTTTATAATTGGTAGGAGAAACAGTGATAAATTGGACGATTGGGCGCGTATCAGACGTCGGATAGCTCCCAGATTGGAGGCCAGGAGGTGGCCTGGTGCCGTGTTCGGAAGCGGCGCCACGGAGACGCCACGGAGACGAGCCGCGACAGCCGCCGGTTCTGAACTCAGGTCACCCGTGGTGCTGCGCTCCTCCAGCCCTGCCTGACTGTAAGGGCAGTATGTACGGAAAACGTATGCAGAATATCAGCGACCTTCACCTCGAAATGTTTTAAAATGCAAGGTGTAACTGCAGCGTCCCGTGTTTTGGGGCATTTGTGGTGAAACACAAAGAGTAGGTTGACACTCGATCCCACCGAAATCGTCGAAATAAGCATACTTCGTTGTTTTAAAAAGACAAAATACACTGCTTCATTCACGGCGACCTCAGGTGCCGAAAGGCCATCATCACCGGTGTTTGTTTTGTGTCATGCCCCTGCAGAAGGCTGTGCGTCCACAAGACGTCAACACTATCGGTCACAGGGGGTGATAACCTGTTGTGTTTACGAGCCGGGTGAACAAGGTCGTCGGGCAGTCAACAGTTAGGCTTGGGCGTGTCCGTGCGGCGGCGGACGGCGGCGGCGCGCGCTGGTCACCGCGCGCTCCAGTACGCGCACGGCTGTATCTCGAGCTCTCTTCCTCTGTCATGTCCCTGCTGACAGGAGATTTATGACGGGTCCACTCCCGTTAATTGGGACCGAGGAATGCCCAAAACAGAAGAAAAACACACTTGTCAATTAGTGGAGCGATCAGGGTGCTCGCCAGAGATCGGTCGCTGGATAACACGCCGATGGCCCCGACACCGAGCGTCGAGCCGGCTCCATCGATCCGGACACACCACAGGGTTTTTCGCTCCATGTTGTCCCTGACAGGTATGGCCCATTATATTGCACGGTATCTGTTGTTCTACTTTTTGCATGCCTAATGAATTGGTTACGGGGCTTCATGAGCTTAAAAGCTGGTTTGTGCTTCGAGTATTTTAACATTAATGCGACCTATCGATACAAGCGGAGTTTTACGCGACGCGTTGATAAACGTACATGCATTTGATTACTGAAGCTGACAATAAATTAACGATATTTTCAGCGATGGGTCGAAACCCGGATAGATATTTCAAGACTTTTGTTTTTTAGGACCGCAACGAATGATTACCTGAGACTCGTAGACACCTTTGGGAAACAAGGAATGATGCCATGAAATACGAGATTCTTACGAGACGGACTGCACAGAATCATGCTCATCATAATCCACTTGCGACTACCGATCACTGCCTAATGTGCTGTCCAAACCTGGCTTCCCTGCCCCCGTAATCAGCTGATTTGATTTCAGCAAGCATGACACCGGCCATTTTGGCCTGACATGATGCCTATTGACAGCCGATAGGATTTGCAGCGCACCTCCTCTGATCGTCACCATTAGCGCCGGAGCGCGCTGCTGCAGCGAGCCGCGCGGCCAGCCTCAATTAACTTCTGGCCGCCTGATTAAGTGCGGGGACGGTGGTAATTTACCGGTTCATTTGTCAGCCATTATGAGCGGTCAGCGCGGCGCGTCGGAAGGTCGAGCGGTCGGCGTCATTAGCGGCCGGGACGTGACGGCCGGCCATGTCTCTCGGGGCAGGGCGCGACCCCTCTCGGGCCGTGTCGCTCGGGTTCGGTCTCGGGCCTGAAGGGGACTGCGTATTGTCACATTGATTAGAGGTGGTGACATCAGCTGGCGTGTGTGTGAGTCGCTCACAGGCAGAGATGCGTCAGGCGGCGTGCAGGGGGCGTCTGCCGTCAGGCACGCTCAACAGGAAGAATCATGCTCATGGGACAGCCGTCTCTCTGAGTCGACAACCATTAATCTGTTCAAAGAGCCATGCATCTCATGAAATTTCGTTCCCGTGGGTGGTCAGTTGTGCTCTTGACTACATTGATCGTGTCAGTAACAGACGCCACGTCTCGTCCTGGTGAGCTATCGGCGTCAGCAGACCGCAGGTGGGGCACCTGGGGACCGGGCATCACTCTGAGGCCGCCGCAGACCTGGCAACCACCGGCACAACTGCCGCTGGCGTCGGCGGCGTCCACACTGCGACACCGCCCAGGAAGCAGCGGCTGTTCTTGTGCTGCGACCCCATAAAACAGCAGCAAAGCCGAATGGACCGCGGCGACATATAACGCCGGCTCACGTCCCTGCCGGCAGCTCAGCTGACCTCTGCGCGGGCGGGGCCGCCCGCCGTCCGCCACCGTCAGGGGCCGCTCAATCAATTAGGTGCGGGCCGGCGAGTTCTAATGTTG